TGTGGACGACAGAAGGAATGAGAGAGGGGGGGGGGGGGGGGGGGGACAGAAGTGCGGAGAGAGGAAGGCCGGGTAGAAGTATTATTGTTAAATCATGCACCTGCTTTCAGGCGTAAAAACCCTGTTGTAGAGGTCTCAGTCCTCATTTGTTAGACTTCCCTGTCTTTATAAATGTAACTTACTCTCTCTCTCTCTGTATGTCTCTTTCTCACACGCAGACACACACACACGCACTACACACACACACACACACACACACACACACACACACACACACACACACATCCGGATTTTCTTTTCTACTCCATGGGCCTCTACTTTATTTTCTTCCAGTGCGGTACATGTGCATTCACGTCCTCCATCCTGGAGACCCCTAGATTGGATTATAGTCTTTGGGGAAATAGATAAAATAAAATTGACGTGCTTTCTGATCAGGTAGTAGCAAAATTATATTTACAGTAGTAAAGTACTATTTCCTGTTGGGATCCAAAAAAGCCATTAACACGCATGCACTCGCTATTGCAGACCAATGGAGAGCACACATCATATGGAGGATTCATGGAGTGCTGGGCAACCGAATCTGGCATGTGATAATCATGTAGGATAGTCCACGCACGAGGTGCAGCCCATGAAATGGGCACCCATGAACTGGGCGGAGTGTGGACAGCCTGTATGATAGTGTGTATGTATGTCCACGCACAAAGTGCAGCCCATGAGATGGGCGCCCATGAAATGGACGGAGTGTGGACAGCCCACGCACGAAGTGCAATGCCCGTTAGGAGGCAGGAGTGTGGGAGTATGAGTGTGATGGCCGAAGGCCGTGATAATTGCCAGACGAGAGGAGATAGCTGGCCCAGCACTCCTATTTATTTTCGTCTTGTATGAATTATGATACCTGTGTTGAATCAAGGATATCAATATTATTCATAGATGGGAAGAGGTGGGTGGGTGAGAAAGGAACAAACCGGTGTTCTTCTCACGGCGCAAGCAAAGCAAATATGAAGTAGCAATGACTATGTGGCCAGCGCGAAGTATGGTGTATGCGTTACGGGTTCAAGCTCCGATGTGTGCTGCAGCCGCATATGGCTGGTTGGCTGGCGAGTTCAGGTGAGTTCCGGCGTACGCATGTTACATGCCACCGCAGCGTGCATGTGCGTGTTACTTGACATGCATCAATGAATAGCGTGGGATCTGCGGGCTCTTTGGAAGCCGCTGGAGCGCGTGTGAAGTGGTGGCTTGTGCAATGTGTTAACCTACATTACCGCAAGCTCTAATGTGCTATTAACACGCATGCACTCGCTATTGCAGACCAATGGAGAGCACACATCATATGGAGGATTCATGGAGTGCTGGGCAACCGAATCTGGCATGTGATAATCATGTAGGATAGTCCACGCACGAGGTGCAGCCCATGAAATGGGCACCCATGAACTGGGCGGAGTGTGGACAGCCTGTATGATAGTGTGTATGTATGTCCACGCACAAAGTGCAGCCCATGAGATGGGCGCCCATGAAATGGACGGAGTGTGGACGGCCCACGCACGAAGTGCAATGCCCGTTAGGAGGCAGGAGTGTGGGAGTATGAGTGTGATGGCCGAAGGCCGTGATAATTGCCAGATGAGAGGAGATAGCTGGCCCATGGTTGCCCAGCCTCCATGCTAAGTTGTGACATATTGCAATGCACGTGAATGACACTGTTGTTGCTATCAGCGCAGTTTGTCAGCACAATCCTAGCAGAGCAAGTTGCTGTGCTGTTCCAAACAGTCAGCCGTGTGGGTACATGCATGGGTGTGAGTTGTGTGCCCGCGTGGCGGGTTCTTACATACCTCAATGCGTTCTGTGATGCGCTTGTACCTCTGACAGCTTTTGGGTCAGCTGCGCCATGTCTGTGTCGGTGGTCCTGATGTAGCGCAAGACACTGTCGCTCCTCCATCGGCCCATTGCCCTGATTAGCCAGTCAGGGGTACCCGCCATGGCTGCCGTTGTGGCGGCACCGATGCGGAACGAATGACCGGCGTAATCGCGCGAATTGGGTGTTCCCGTGAGTGGGAGAAGCTGTCGGAGATCTTCTGTCAGCGCCTGCCTGGTCAGCGGTCTCCCAGAGCGGTAGCGGAAGAGTGCGTCAGCGGCGTCAGACGGACAGACTGTAAAATATGCCAGGAGGGCAGCAACCGGGCAAGGTTGTGAAGTGGTACTACCGATTATCACTGCATGTCCCTGACGGAATTGGTCCGTCTTCGATTGCTTGATGTGGAAGCGGATATATGTGCGTCCTTGAGTGACGTCCAGAGTCACATCCTGGCGCGTGGCATGAGTGGCAGGGTCAAACCCGGCCGGAGGCGCAGTGAATTCCGCGCATCGGAGAAATCCGAAAAAGGCGAGCACCATTGCCGCCTTGAGCATGCACTTGTCCTGCTGGTGACGCCGTTGGTCCAGGCTGAGTTGGTTGAGGAGCCTCCGCAGCAAATCAATGG